CCTACATGGATCTTTTCATCTTCATCTCTTTTTTTTCCACCTCATCTTATTCATTTTATGTACACACATATATATTAATATGTACACGCAATTACACACCCGAGAGCACATTCAGCTAATATATTTATAAGAAGATGAAGACAAAGATGAGGAACGAGGAGAAGAAGGAAAAAAATACATTGTTGTCATGGGAGATTCCAGAATAAGAGGTATGAGATGCGTAATTGCTCACTTATTCACTTTGATGGAAGATGAAGATGTGAATGAAGAAAAAAGGAAAGAATAAAAAAGAAAAGATGGAAAATGAGTGGTTTATATTTCTACAGAGGTAAAAGAAGGAGAATAAAAAAATTCCAAGAAGAAAAAAATGATGAATAAAAGAGGATGGGGTCAGGCAGAGTAACCATTTAGTAGGAAAGATGAGCAAGTTACATGAAGATGATGATAAAAGTTCATTGAAGCTGAATTGGTGGAAGAAAAAAGCTTGAAATAATAATTGAAGATAATCTTTCCCAATTAACGCTTATAATACATTGTGATAACATTGTTTCTTCCTTTGTTTCTCCCTTATTATCATCCTCATCATTCACGTAGGGGACATAACGGTAACATCATTCAGGTAATTACAGTAAAGAAAAACAAAAAATACTCAAGAAAATAGAGAGCATGGGTGGATGGAATTGAGTTATAATAATGAAACATGAAATGATACCAGAGACAAGGGAGGAAAGAAAAAAAAGCAACTGTAACAACGAGTGAAATCCTCACAATGATGAGGATGATGAAGATAATGATGAGAGAAAGAGAGAGAGAGAAGAAAAAAATAATGATGATGATAAACACTAGAGCTACATCTTAATGCTTAACTTTTTGTTTCTTGGTGATAATAATTATCATGATGATGGTAATAAGTATGATTGAGTTGGGGCTGGTGGATAAAAGTTCTAGAACCATAACTGACAACAATTACCAAGAACTTTTTTGTCATTTGATTGTAATTACAATTTTTAACTCTTCTTTTTCAATCTCTATTAACTCTGAGTAAAGGTGATTTCACATTTAAATTTTCATAGTAATTGCGATTTCTGTTGATTAATATATTAATCATTTCGAGCTACAGTTCAACTAATTAATGTTCTTCCAACTGAGTTCATTTAATGTTAACTCTTTTTTTTTATTGTTATTGAAATTACTTGATAGTAATAAAGATAGCATAAAATCAGCTCAATGATATTCATGAACTTTTCAAAGAACCGAGATATTATCTGTAAGCGATGAAATATCGGACGGATTTAGAAGATCAGGTTTTAAAGAAAATAAAAAAAAATTCTCATCTTTTCTTTTGTAACAAAATGTTATTATTACATGTGATTCTTGGCTTGTTTGGTGATCAGTTGAAGATGGAAAGATGAGGATGATAATGATGATGGTGAGCAACAAGAATCTCTTGAGAATGTTTCTTTTTTCTTCGTGAGTTTAACCAATCATGATGGGTAAAGATCGTTGATCACTTTGAGTATCATCATGAAGATGATGAAGATAAAGAGTCGAATCTTTTTTTTTCATTTCTCAGAAAGATTTTTCCCTTACTATCTCTCTCTTTTCTCCGTAGATTCTCTTATTCCTCATTGAGAATCAACCCAAGTCAAACAATTTGTCATCGTTCCCCTGTCTCAAGAGATTTACAATCTTAATCACAATTATGATTGCAAAGCTTATCATCATCATCATGATCCACTTTTTATTATCATGAAAAGTTACTCTTTTTTATCTTGCTCTGCCCAACTCTTATGCCTAATCACAACATCATACATGAGGATAGATGTATTATAAAAAAAAGATGAAGATGAAGATGATCAAAAGGAAAACAAAAGATGATGAAAAATGATGAATAGATGATAAGAAAAAAATGAGGAAGCGTGATATTGCATATACGCCCAATTATAAGGATAATCATTAAGTCAATCAGTCATCTTGTTGATACTTTCACAGAGAATGGCTGTTTATCATCAGAGGGAGAAAGAGAGATAAAGGCAATGTTGCCTTGAGATTTTAACAATAATTTATTATCTCGACATGAGAATGATAATAATGATGATGGTGATGAGTTGGATAACAATGATAATAGATTTACTTGTGATTATTTTCTTGATGTTGGCTTATCACTCCCAGCCCCTAGAATCCATCATTTGTTATTTATCTGTATAGAAATAATCAGGACCATGTAACATGGGAACAGAATTTGAAAAATTGAGCTTCAACTGTTTTTTACGATGTTTCCATGTAAATTGCATCATACTTAACAATCTCCCGATTTTTTTCTTAAACTTTCCTAAGTACTATTAATAACATCGCTCTCTCTCTCTATAACTTGTATTCTTTTGATTTTCGTGTGATGATTTGTCTTTTTCTTTTTTTTGTTAAATTCTCTGTTCACTTGTCATTCTTTTTATCAACTACATCATGTAATATCAACCCTTGCAAATCTTTATCTACAAAATTTCATTAATCTACTGATGAAATCCTTTTATTATCTTTCATGATTACCATTGTGAATAAATAGATTCCAAGTTATATCTTATTCATCATATGATAAATTATCACTGAAATTTTATTCTTCCTCATGAAACTATCATGCTTGAGTTCATGAATGATGATTGAATATCTAAATCTTTGTTTGTATTTTTTAGAATTGATGAAAAAATGAACTTTTTGACATTTTTTGCTCTTTTCAACTTTTCTATCGGCATCACCATCATAAAACTATTTATTGATAAAAGAAAAATAAATCGACATGTTGAAATCACTGTTTTTCGTTCATCATTGACTGATATCCACATAATGGTGATGAACATTAGATTATATCAACAAGAAACACTGATTGCTCTGGTTGTATGTAAGATGACATGTTTTTAAAAAAAGTTGATTTTATCTAATGATCAGAGAATGAAGTTGCCAAATTTCATGATGAATTCAATTCCAGATTCAAGTCCCGTGATAATTGATTTGATTATCTGTTGCTTATAGATGAATGATAGATTCCGAAATTGGAGTGCGCGAAAATTAATGATTGATCATTGAAAGATTGTCAAAATTATGAATTCAAAATGAGAGTTTTCCAAAACTCAAACTGCAAGTAGTGTTTCACAATACCGATAAAAAGTAATAATTGAAAAGTATTGGCATTGGACTGAAAATATCAATAATTTTCAATACCACGCGAAATTAATGTGTGTACTTTACAATTAGTATTAAAATAAAATCGAGTGGAAGTGAATTTAAAAACATTAACTTGTTCACGTTTTAGGCTTGATTCTATTTCTCTTCTCAGAGATAATAGTACCTGTTTTCCAAAATAAACTCACAAGGAACTGATGTGAGTCGAATGGTTAGAAATTTTATCGCCAGATTATGAATCTGGGGCCAATTTGATTTGTTATTCTTCCAAAAGAGAAGAGGATTTTCGTTACGGTCGATTACATTGGACTCGAGATAGTGGCAAGACCAACATGCATACCTGATGTTGGGGTATATAATTTCTTAGCAGCATTATCATGAACACGCCAAATAGTTGTTTCATAAGTTTTTGCATGAATAGTTTGAGTCGTTGGTACATCTGCTAGAAGAGCACTGAGATTCGCTACCGATTGAAAACAGGATGAAGTAGAGTTGCAGCTTATATTCTTAAAACTCTGGTCCAATAGTGCTGCATGAGCAAAGAGTGGATTCATTTCGATACCATCGAATCGACGTTCAGCTTCACTGAACAAGTTTTATCCCAATTGAAATTGCTATGCTATCGGTGGCTTTTATCTCTCTCAAGATTACCCTGTTGCAATTGAAAAATCGAATGGTCATTTATATCATCACATAACTTTCACCTGAAATACTTTCAGTGAATTGGACAAAAAGCTCGCGGAAATCACAAACTTGAGTCAAACATACAATCTTTTCATCGTCTAGATCGACTTAACGCTTTCCATGTTAAACCAGGGCGATTGAAATGTTTGTATGCAACTTCAAATAACGTTTGCACATGAAGTAAGTCGAGAGTGAGAGATTTCATGTCATCTTCTTCTTGTTGACTGATTACATCATTCATCATGTTGTAATTTTGTTTACACTTGGTTGAGATTGATTGTATCGACCAATATTTTCATCCACTTGCCATTCATATAAAAACAAATTACAAGAATTTCTTAATGAAAAATAAAAATGTAATGAAAATCAAAAAAATTAAAATTAAAATGAAATGGAAATCAAAGAAATGAAAAGTGAATTTATTATGGTGACAAAAAGACTCCTTTCCTATTTAAATGCTTAACAGCCAACTTTTTGTATGTTTCGACGGTGGTCATGGTTTTCATCAGTATTTTGACAGTCTCAAAAGGATACACAGAGTAACAGGTCTTTTTCTCGTCTTCCTTCGATGTCCAAGTCCGATTCGCCCGTTTTACGTATATGCAACAGCCCGTTTTACGTATAAGCTCCGTGCTCACGCTCGGTTTCTGGCCATTGAATCTGCATCTATAACTGAAGATTTGGCGTTGTACACACAAAGTCGATACAAGCGGCTTCTCGAGTTAGTGCGCTCGAATTAAGTTTAAGTTGCTAACGTAACAGCAAAGATAGGAGAACTAATTCCCATTTCTCTCTCCCTGTTTTTTATTAGGTTTCCCATCCCGAATATTATTAAGATTGAAATCTCTGAGGAGGACGATCGCGTCAACTGGTTATTTTCTGGACCTGCGGTTATCGTGCTTGAAAAATAGAAGCCAAACACGAAAACAATAGCTTCAAGTCTTTAGTGTCAGCATCAGGACTTCGATGCAAATTTATTGTGGCGGTGACACAATCATTAAACTCCTTAGAAAAGATCACGCCATTAACCTGCATATCACTTCGGCCACAGTCAGAAGAATCGAGTAAATTGGCATAATTCATCCCCTGTCACAAGAATGATAAGCTACTGGGTGACCAATAATATGTTGTTTTTTTGAACATACCGCTCAAATTCGCGAAGACGCTTAGGCTAACTTTTTTTGCTGGTCATTTTGACAGTATTTAGTTGAAGTTTTGTTGACACTGAAAATTTTTGAAATTTGACCATTTTTAAGAAAATTATGGCAGATATTACGATAGAACAAAAAGTCAAATTAATCGAGTGTTATTACACAAATGGAAAATCTAAAGCTGCTGCTGTACGAGCAATGGAAAGTCATTACGGGAATGATCTCAATTGTCATCCTAATACATTAAAGAAGTAAGTTATTAACTTTTCAATTTTTACGATTTTTGCATTTTTCTCATTTTTTTTGTCAGTTCTTTAAACTCTTGTTTTTTCTTGTTTTTTCTACATGAATTATGACAAATAGTCTTATTAAGAAGTTTCTACTAACTGCGTCCATGGATGATCGACGTAGTGAAAATCCAGGAAGACCATACGAAGTTACAACCCCTGAAGTGGTAGACAAGGTTGAAGCTCACTTTGAAGAAAATCCAAAGGACTCAATACGTCGAGCAGCTCAGGTTCTTGGATTAAAACGTGAATCTTTACGAGTTATGTTGAAAAAATTTCTTAATTTCCACCCATACAAAATATCGGTGCATCAAAAGTTAACGGAAGCTCATAAGGCAAAACGAGTTGACTTTTCGAAAAAAGTTTATGATGCTATTGAAAATGGGTCACTAGGTGTTAAAAAAATAATTTTCAGTGATGAAGCTCACTTTGATTTGACGGGATATGTCAATAAACAAAATATGCGATTTTGGGCTATAGAGAACCCATACTACACAACTAACACAACAGCTCATCCAATAAGGCTAACAGCATGGGCTGCCATCTCCCGGAAAGCTATTTACCTCACAACTTTCACAGAGACTGTCACAGGAGAATTTTATAAGCAGATATTGATAAGACGGTTTTACCCATGGTTGACTCGAGCCGCAATTCCAACTGATTCCTGGTTCATGCAGGATGGTGCTACTCCACATCGAACACACGATGTGTTTGAAAGCCTTGCCACCAAGTTTGAAGGCCGTGTTATTGGTCTTGGATACCCAGCGTTTCAAGGGGGCGGAATAGAGTGGCCACCTTATAGCCCAGACTTAAACCCATGTGACTTTTTTTTATGGGGGTATTTAAAAGATAGAGTATATCAGAGAAACCCAAAAGACCTAAATCAACTCGAATCAGCCATTAAAAATGAAGTTGCAAACATCGACGATGAGATGCTAAATCGTGTTTACATAGGCTTCCTTCGTCGCCTGGAGGCGTGTCACCTATCAGGTGGAGGGCACTTTGAAAATATTTATGTATAATTTTGAAGTGTCTTCTTTAATTTAAGACATAAAAAACAAATTTCTGTCAAGTAATTACGAAAATATAACGATTTAAAAAAAACAACATATTATTGGTCACCCAGTACGTTACAATATATTGATAAACGAATGCGTTTCCCGGATTAGAAACATCCATTTTTTTAATACTTTAACTCATCATCACATTAACTTATCTTTTCTGAGAAATTCTCATCACTCGAAATGGCACCATCAACGATCAAATTCAAACAATGAGCAGCTCAGTGAATATGTGGACCAATCGCTTTAGAAGCTTTCTTAAAATTAGCAACACCATTAGTTGTTATAGCTGTGACCTTAGCAATTGGTATATCAAACTCTTCGAGTGTTCAATGTTAGAGTCAAATGTTATCAGCCATAGCACAGTCTTTGAATCGATAAGCTTTCAAACAAACACTGAATTGCTAATAGTTATCAATAAAATGAACTGTGATTTCATTATATGCTACTTGATTAGCTACGGCTTTCCACTCATCACTGGTGATTGATATCCATTCAACTTCATTTACAACATCCTGAGTTTATTAGACTTGATATCGAAAAGTCTATCGATGATTCTTTTCACTTTATTCCTATCTGTTGGCTTGTAATGTAAATTAAGTGAATGCTAGAATTCAGTGAATCTTTTTGTTCACACAACCGAAATGAATGAGCATTCCATATCATTCACCAGAGAAGAGATTTTTCTACGTTATTAGCTGATTCATCATCTGAAAAATATGAGAAGTAATTTATAAGTATCTAAAGCATACACAATACGACTTGAGTCTTACCTTTGAATTAATTTAGTTGGTTAATTTGGCCGTCTATTCTTGGTTTTACTTGACTTTTAGTACAAAAATTATGTCATCATAAATAATATATGTGGATAGATAATGTTTTTTCTATCTCCGCTTTTTTTCTCCCTCAAGTGTTACCAATATTTGCTGGTACATTCCTATTAGTTTTTGCTCAATTTTGTCAGCGGCTGCAGAATTTTTCCTCCCTTTCTGCATCAGACAGATCTGTTTATGTATATCTCCCCTAGGTATTTCCTTCATTTTTTGTGCCCTTTCCTAAGCCCATTCTTGGCTTTTTGATTTTTGGTTGAGCTCTCAGGGTACCTCTGAAAGAGATATAGGTGGACAGAGAGAGCGAAAGCGAGAAAGGAATTTAGGTGAGAGAAAGAGAAAGGTAAAGATGATGAAATTTTCATCATCACATTGCGTTAATATAAAAAAACCGGTAATTTCAAACATACCAGATTTAGAAATTTCCGTTGGTCCATAGCAAACCTATTTTATTGATACTGTAATTGTATATTGTAATTAATCATCACAAGAGTCTCCTCCAAGTTTGTTTCCGTTATTTAAGTTATTTATATGTTCTTCGTTTCTAACATTCAATTCTCTGTTATAATCGTCACTATACCTGAATCTAAAAACCAGTTAAAATCAATCAGTATGAATTTAAATATTGAACAGTTTAACATCAATTTTACTCCAAATATAATTAAAACAAAATAAACAACAGGCTAACGCATTTAGTCACCTTAACAACCGAAAGAGTTAATATACATGTAATGTAATGAAAAGATGAGAGAAAGAAAATCATAGGGATTCTGTTTTCTCTTTCTCTTTCTCCTCTCTTTCCTTTGATTTGATTCTTCTTTCTGCTTCTCTTTCTTTTCTCTTTCTTTTGTTTATTTTTTCTCTTTCTCTGCCTCCTACTTTTCCCCTACATTTAATTTTGTTAATTAACTAATTGTTGTAACTTTTGATAGTGCTGATTTTTGCATTTGTTTTGGTAAACAACCTTTGATTTAATTGTTGATTGTTGATTAACAACAATGATCATTTTTATTAATTGATTTCATTGTTGATGATGATGGTAAACAACAACAACAACAACAAGGTCAATCAATCATTAGCTTTTGATGGTGATGGTTCAACTAATTAATATGTTTGATTTTAATTTAATTTTAAATCAAGTTGATTTAGTTAATTAATATAATTTCAGGAATTGATTTGGTTTATTTCCAAGGAAGTGAATTAAGTTGGAATTCATATTTGGAAAATTCAACTAATCGTTTCCAAAGGTGAAATTTCTGGCTGTTATTGTTGCTGCTGTTGTCTTACCTTATATACACACGAAATCCCCTTCTCTCGGTCTTCTAATCTTTAATTTATTAATTACCTTAATTAATTTGTCATAATCCCTAGATTACAATGTTAGTTTATCTCTTTCATTTTCATTCACCGTCTCTTTATCTCTCTCTTTTTCCTTCTCAGAATATTTCTCTCCTCTATCTTAATCTGTTTCAAACCGATTAACCTTTAAAAGAGTTATGATTTCTTAAGATAAGAAAAATAAATGTAGTATATAAAGGGGTAAGAAATAATAAAATAATTAGATCTCAAAAGGGAAGTCATCGCCAACGAGTCTCACTCTCTTCATCGGGACTTCGTCATTTTTGTGACAATAATAATAAGACTTGGAATGACTTAAACAACAAAAAGGCACCTACAAAAATGCCAAACAAAATAATGGTTTGAATAGGAAAAGGAAAGAGGGAGGGAAAATTGAGAGAGAAGATAAGGTGGTTTATCCAGACACGTGCCAGTTTTTAGTAGATAGCTAAAGTTATCAAGACAAGAGAAAAAAACAGATGAACACGAAAGAGAAAGAGGCGACAGAGAATGGGAAGATAGAGAAAAGGAGAATAGTGAGAAAGAAAAAAGAAATTTTAAATTTTGTATTGAACGATTCACATTTCAATCTACTAAACCACGGATCTGACAAACAACCTTAACAAACTTAAGTGAGATGCGTAGGTATGAGGCATGATTTGAAAGAGTGGGCGTCAAATCCTGCTATCCCGGAATAAATAATAGGTAAAAATAAAAATTGAATAAAATTCATTTATTTGAGTATCCGAAAGTCGTCATTGTCATCAACATCATAATCAACATCCTCATCATCTTTTTCCTCTTCGACGAGACAAAATTTTCCTCTCTCCTTTCGAGTCCGATTATGGCCATAAGTATGAAGGTGAACTCATGGCCATAACTGAATTCACTTAGGAATTCGATTTCAATTCATCATCTGAATCGAATTCAACCGTGAATTTCGGATCTAGAATGGAGAGATGAAACATAAGATCGCCCTATTCGAGGTCTATAAGGCCAAAGGTAGGATCACTTGGGAGGTGGCTTTGGAAGCACTGGTCACGGCTGAGGTGATAGGGTCACTGGTGATGAAGGAAACACCAACGATGTTGCTGGTGTTGGTGGCGCTGATAGTGATGGAGATACTGGTGGGGACTAAAACACTGGCGGTGATACTTTCATCAGCTAGTAGGTGATGATGATAGTGATATTATCTAACATGGAAGTGGCGGTGATCAAAAACTATTCCCAGAAACTGATCTTTACAAATAATGTCTTGTTGATGCCAGTTATTGGTCAGCAACCAACTAGAATTTGCTTCAGTTTTGATGCCTGAGTGGGCTAATAATTAAATAATTTTGACTAATCTTCAGTGAATTAGCAAATAAATTTGAATTTGAATGTTAAATTTTGAAAATAAATTTAATTTTTCATCTTCTGGCCGAAAGAGAAAATATGATTTTGTAATTTATCGTTTATAACAAAACTTGATTACTTTATGTTTATTGATAAATAACCTGCGATTCAATTGTAAATCAGTTGAAACGATAATCAATCTTTTTCAGATTTGATAATTCGTTATTCTACCGAAAAGTAGTCAAGATATTAACAATCAATTCCGATAAGTATACTGTATATTTGGTGCTTTGAGTTTTGAACTTTCCTACAAGAAAAATGGATAAGAAAAAAAATTACGATTTCTCAACATTTTAATTTGAGTTTTATACAGTTATTAAATAATAGAAATCATTCTATTAGTTGTTTCAATTGGTGCGAGTCATTATTCATTCAGCTTTTGCTCTCTTTCTGATTAATAATCATGATCAATTATCTATTCAAAGCATGTTATTGTATCGAAATCCTGAATTTTTTTTTGGAAACTTTAATTTCGTGTATCAGATTTCAGAAAACATGGTGCTATGAATTTTGCATTGTTCATCTACAGATCTAATTATGGGACAGGAAATTTAAAGATTTGACATTAACATCATTAAAAATGTGAATACATTTAATTGTTACGAGAATTTAATTGGTAATTAGTAATGATCCTAGTTACAATTAGATTGTTATTGTAAATAATTAATGTAATAAGTAAATTGTATTAATTGGTTTTAATTTTTCTTTTGGGTGAAACAATTGTTTTGGTTTCATGGGTTGAAGCAATTTACTTTGTTCTGCTCAATTTAACTAATGCAAAAGTTAATTAGTTCAAATAATAATAATGATTGAATTAGTTGCTTGATTTAATTGCAATTAAACAGTTGCTGAGTTGATTTAATTTCACAATTGATTATAATCAAAGATTTTTTTCTTGTTCTCTTCTTATATATAAAACAATTGAATATTTCGTTCAAATTGAGTTTAGGCTACTCTTTCCCTTTCTTTCCTCAACAATTAATACAAAACAATCAGATTTAATTATGTTCTGTTTAATTTTAATTTGAGTGAATTTAATACAATCAAGTTGTAACCATGAAGTTGCTAGCTGTTAATTGTTGAATTTTCTTGTGCAATTCAAATGCAATGGAATTAGCTCAACTCTACAAGTTAGTTGATTCAAAAATAATGATAAATTAACTGAGAGAAAAAAGAAGACATTTTTTTAACTAATTCGGTAATTTGAAAAGTAATTTCATCTCATTCTAAAGGTGTAAATAGACGGAATGGATGATATTCCGGCGATAATGTAGAGAGAGATAAAAATTGGCTGATTTACAGAAGAGAATCATGAGAATACCATAGGAAGATAAAACTATCGTAATGAGATATTTATTCTGAGAGATACATTAGTCTTTGTGTAACTATAATTGTTCGTGTGTGTTTTAGGATGGTGATTAGACCTTAATTTAGATAGTAAAGAGTTAATCGAGTTAACAGAAAAGACATAAA